CCGTCTTTATCTCGTCAAGAGAAGCGTAACGTCGTCCTTTCATGGGCCTCTTCAGTTTAGGGAAGAAGAAAAAGTCACAGGGGGCCAGATCTGGGGAATACGGTGGCTGCGGCATCATTAGTGTATTGTTTTTGGCCAAAAAGTCGCGCACAAGCAACGATGTGTGTGAGCAGGGGCGTTATCGTGGTGCAAAAGCCAATTTTTGTCACATCTTCTCGGCCTTCTGAGTACCACCGATAAACGTTGCTTCGGTCCAAGGTGCTTCTCCGTATGCCGCAGTCAACATTCGGAATGCATTCGCGCACTTAATTTCGTTTTTCACACAAAATTTGATACAGGTTCTTTCATCCATTTTTTTGAATAGGTAAAAATCGAAGACGATCCAAAACACGTGCAAGCAAAGCAGCTGTCAACAATTAAATGAACATTCAAATTGGCCGAGCTTGTCGGCATAAGTGAGAGACATGAGTACCAACGTAACGCCACAAAAAATTCGAAATTCGAATATACGTAACCCATTTTTCATGATTCGTTCGAAAATTCAAAATTCGCGATAAATTTTGAACACACCTCGTATGACCTCATATCTATATGCCTTGGCGACCTAAGGTCTATTGTGAAATACGCACTATCACAGGAGGTTGCTGAAGAAGCCATGCCACCTATGTTGGACGGGTGAGTCGTGGGTCATAGATTATGGTAAATTATTTACCAAAAAAAAATATATATGGATATCATCTATGTGTGCTCTTATTTCAATGGATTATAGTATTTTTCCGTCAGACTTATATGAAAGTCGGAACTTCGAAAGTAATATAAATTAAAAAAACATGTTTTTTGATTTGTGATATTGTTTAAAATTTACTTGTTTTATTCGTTACACTAAGAAAGTGCACTTCCTCACTTTTGCAACGATGCCATAAATCTGGTTAGTGCCTTTTGTAATATATACCTTCTGTAGCATTTCTCATATAAGCTTCAGTTTCGAACTTTGAAGTCAAATATTTCGAAATTACTTTTCGCTTATAACTTAAACTCTCTAAAAAACCGATTTGGTGGAATACTCAGTCGAGTGTTGTACTGTTTAATAACAAGTCAAGTGTCTTTATGTTGAAAGTACAGGATTTCTAATAAAAAATAACACTTTTTTAATTATCAAACCAAATAAATATTTTAAAAATAAATTAAATTGTAAAAATGGTAATTGTAATAACAAAAACAATATTAAAAACAACATAAGTTTGACACTTAACTTGTAAAAAGTCTTATGATATATTTTAGTATTTAAGCAAATACCTTTTTTTCAACTGATAAAGGGCTAGGCTGGTATATACTTCTACAGGAAGCGTGGCTTTGACATTAAATGTGTAAATGAGAAAAACGGAGTGCAACTTATCTCTTTGGAGCTTTATGCTCTGCTTGTTAATATCACAGAAAATCATTTCATCAAAACAGTTTTCTTTAATCGATTCACGCAGAAATTTCTACAATGTTGCTTAGAGCAATCTTAAGATGTTTCTTTGATGATAGGCAATCATATAAATATGTAGAACTTTAAGGTTCGAAAATCAACCTGTACCGTCCAGTTGTTACGGATAAAAATTCCTCACCATCTCCGAAAATAATGCTTCGAGAAAAACGAGTTTAAAGTTTTACTAGTGTCTTCTGTTTCAATATATTTTTTTCTCTGAAAATTCCTTTTTTTTTACTAAAAAATATATTCACATATATTCTATCGGACTTGCAAATCCACCATACCTCTTAATTATTATGTTTCTTTCCAATCGTGAGATAGCCCACCATAAACAATTTACTTACTCAAGTACCTTATGACTTAGAGATGATTTTGTCTATAATTTCTGTGATTATATTTTTGTAGCTTTATCTATATAACAACCACACATTTCAAATTTAACACAAATAAATTTAAAATCCTTCTACGAAGGATCATTCTTTGGCATTTATTATTTGAAGATTAGCTCTTTCAAATGTTGGAAGCGGCTATGTCTCAGATGATCCATTCGTTGAGTTCAATTTTTCATGATTCTTTGGAATGACGCGCATGATGTTTTGCTTCAAGGCTCGAATCAAAGCGGGACTGTCCGCATAGACCTTAGATTTTACATATTCCCATAGGAAAAAAGTCTAACGGTGTGATATCACACGATCTTGGTGGCCAATCGACCTGCTCAAATCGTGAAAATATCTGCTCATCGAAGTGTTCTCTCAATAAATCCATCGCTCGATGCGGTTTGTCAGAAGTGGCGCCTACTTGTTGAAACCAAATATTGCAAAGATCACGAGCTTAAATTTCAGGCATCAAACAGTCGGTTATCATGTCGCGATAATGGTTACTTTCTCAACGGGATCATTTTTGAAGAAATAAAGAATAGAATAAATAAAGACCCGATTCAAATTGATTCTACATGGTCTACGTGTACTTTCTCTGCTACGACTGCTATATGTTCTTTACTGGGTGTTGAGCGTGATCTATTTGGTCGAATATCATCCAATAACGAATGCAGGCTCTCAATATGGGTCATTTTGTTGCGAATAGTACGCTCAATAGGCCGATATGTTGACCAGAAGTTGAGCGAAGCGCACGAAACTCATTCTGTATAGAAAGTGAATTTTCGTAATAAAATTGAACGATTTGTAAACGTTGTTCAAGCGTAAGTCTTTCCATGATGAAATGCCAAATATTAAACAAAAATCAAGGCAGCTTAACACGACTCACGCGTGATCTATCAAAAAAAGAATATTGAAAAACAAGTAAGGAAGACCTAAGTTCGGGTGTCACCGAACATTTTATACTCTTGCATCATAAAGTGATAATCGAGATTTCAGGCGTGGTTGTGAACCGATTTTGTTAAGATTGGTGTTAAGAAAATATTATATACCGAATTTCATTGAAATCGGTTGAGTACTTCCTGAGATATGGTTTTTGGTCCATAAGTGGGCGACGCCACGCCCATTTTCAATTTAAAAAAAAAACCTGGATGCAGCTTCCCTCTGAAATTTCTTCCGTAAAATTTAGTGTTTCTGACGTTTTATGTTAGTCGGTTAACRCACTTTTAGTGATTTTCAACATAACCTTTGTATGGGAGGTGGGCGTGGTTATTGTCCGACTTCTTCCATTTTTGAACTGTACATGGAAATGCCTAAAAGAAACGACTCTATACAGTTTGGTTGATATAGCTATAGTAGCTGTCTCTTATACACATCTAGATGTGTATAAGAGACAGCACAACCGTTATGTGAACAACACTATCTTTAGCAACTTTGTTGCGAGAGTATAAAAATACCTCTACTTAAATCTAAAGTTTAAATTGTCTGATTAAGGTTTCAAACTGGGCTAGAATAATCTGGCGCACGTATATGAGATGGTAGCGGCTAGAAATTTAATAAATATGCATGAAACGGACCTTTGGAAAATTTTTATATATTATATAGAATAAGATTTTTTTTCGAAAATCTGAGAAGCGTCTTATATACAGTTGCCACAATTAAATCAATGTTTTCGTTTATAAAATCTATTAAATGAAACATTTCCACAAGAATATATTTATTTAAGTATTTTTGTAAATACTTCTTGCTAAATAATAAAATAAGTGTTAAATGTTCTAAACGCGACTGTTGTGATAAAATAGGCGGTTGCTTCTTTTTCATCTTTTTCCTTTTTTTACCACTAACAAAAATGCCCAATTGTTTTATTTGCATATACAGTACTTTTTTATCAAAAGAATTTTACGACTCCGACGACTTAATCTTAACGAAATGGACACAATGCTCTTGTGTGCTATATATTCAAAATAAAAATATTGAAAGAGAATTCACGCGGAAACTCTGTTGTTGCATCAAAATTTCAGTCAGTCGACGCTGAAGAGCATAAAGAGATTCTAAACACAAAAGCGTTCACTGATAAGAGATCTCTTTTCAATTTAGTGACGCTACAACAAATTGTAGCGCCGAACATTTTAGGCGAGTACAATATGGAAAGTACTCATCGGGCTTATCTTGCTTGCGAAGCGCTTATCAGCTAGAAGAGACTTCTAGCGTACACACGCGTCAGTTATAGCCCATATTTGAGGCCAGTAGTCGTCATTTAGAGGAAAAAATAAATAATCACAAATCGGAAAACTGAAAATCTGCTGTCGCGAAGAGTGTTTTACTGAAGAGTTCCTAGCCGAGGCATGCCCATGCAGTAGTCTCTTAAAGCAATCGCATTAAAAAGACGTTTTCAGCGCTAGCGGAGCAAAAATATATATTTTTTCACAGAAATACAAACAAACATATTTCATAGACATTTTCAAAACAAAACCGACGAAATTTAGACAAAAGTGAGGCACAGAGCATTAACGAAGTGTGAAGATAATTAATTAAAAAGAAAAAGTGTTTGATATAAGGGTGAAAAGCTCGAATTTTATACGTGAAAGTGCTTTTTAATAAAAACGCAGTTATAAACTTACAAAATGAAAACTTTTATAAACACAGTGGGTTATTTTACTTTATCTATTGTTATTTTTATATTTTTTGTTTTGATAAACAACTTGACTCATGCCATCTACAAAGCCGATATATGTACATATATAAAATGTATATTTAATATATAATTTACATATGTATATATATATAGATATGCCGATCGGCATGGAATATTATCTGTCTCTTATACACATCTAGATGTGTATAAGAGACAGATATTATATATCACCAAAAATGCAAAAAAAAAAAAAAAACACGTAACCACGCATATTGAAGCAAAATTTGAGTTTTGGTTA